TTATAACCAGCAGAACTGAGCAAAATGAGAAATGAGAAATGAGAAATACCCTGATATGCCAATGTCGAGGACGGTTCCCCACCTTCTCCAAAAATGAGCAGAGGATGCCTCTTTGCATACAGGGTGGACTGCTTAAAGTCTCTCCCCCTCCAGGCTGGCAAGGACACACTCAAGGACACTGTTGCTTGGCTGTGAAAACCAAAACATTGCAATGCCACACCCACCAACTTGGATTAACTAATGGACAATTTGGAGTTTGATTGGATCTGGCAAAGCACCAGAGAGACAGGATTCAAAAATAACCAACCCTAGACAGTTGTTCACTCTCCTGACCAGGATAAAAGAAGGACTTCAAGGCAGCAGGGTCAGTTGGTGTTGTCAGTGGTTGGGGGTGTGCGGTTCAGTTTTTTGGCAGGGAACGGCAGTTCGGTTTCAGCAGCTTTGGACACAGTGCAGTGGAGTGACTTTTTGCAGCTGGATAGTGGCAGTCACCAGTGAAGCAGGTAAAGGCTATGATCAGTAGGTAAAGGCTATGCATGCCCAGTAGATGGCAGCACTGAGAATCACGGTATTTGACTCTCTGGGGCAAGTAACTCGAAAGAGCTGAACTGAAAGAGCTGAATAATACAGGCCACTAAAGAAGAACCACAAGTTCTAGTGAAGTCCTGTTTCATGGGATCTCGCTCCTGGTCCGCCCAAAAGTGCTCAGAGCAACAAGGACCTGCTCACCCTTTGCAGAGAGGATTTTGGTAACTTTGTGAATCCTATTCCTTTCTCCTTTATTTTCTTTGCAAACCTCTCCCCTTAATGCACTCTCTGCCTCAAACCAACTTTAATCAGGCATTCTCTTTTCACTATCTGTGTTTCATGTTTCCTTTGTGAAGTCTTCCTGGCTATTTCAGAGTTTAAACAAAAATTCACACCAACATTTTTTTCTCCCTCTTTTCCATGAGCAGCTGTCCCCGTAATCAATAAACTCTGTTTTATCTTAACTTCACTACTCATTATTGGATGTGGCACAAATACGGTTTAGTTTGGGTTTGTCTCCCAATAAGAGTTCATTTCAGGCCAACCAACTCTGTAAGAGGTGAACTTCCCATGTACCATTTGGCTTTAAGGGGTTGGTGTAAGTAAATTCTGATGTGATCTGAGGGAGTATGCAGATTGGCTGCTCCCCCTCTGAGCTCCCACAGACTGGCATAGCCAATAATAAGGTTAGAAACAGAGAGAGACGGAGATGGAGAGGTGTGGTGGTTAAGGCATGGACTCCAGGGTGAGAAGCAGTGGAATCGTTTATCGTTTTCGTGAGAAAATGCTCCCTTACATACTTTTATAGTGGGAACTGAGAGTAAGCAACCAGGGTACAGAGTTGCTGTAAACAGCACTCACACCTGCTTCTTGGCACACACACAATCTTTGGGCTCCCAGGATGGAGCGAATCACACAGACCACATAATAAACAGTGTTCTGATTTTTGTCATCATTCACAGTGCTCACAGCAAGCCCTGGCCTTTAGCTGGTCTCTACTTCTTCACAGATAGAAGGGGTCCTTTTTCTTTCCCCATGGCTATTCACCACAGAGAGGAGTGATAAGAAAGATCTCCCCCACCTGGTGGGGCACGGGGCTCTAGGTGATCACTTGGTCCCTCCATCCAGGTTGGCTGAGCAATGACCTTTATTGTCACGTGTGTTGTCCTTCAACAGGACAGGGGTTGTTCCAAGATGAGCACCCCTAGCCCTGGGCACCCCTCAGGCTCTGCTTTGGCCCAGACAGCCACCAGGAGCTGCCACCAGGCCAACCACCCCCAGCCCTACCTAGGCCTAGCTCCCTCTCCCCACGGCCAGGCCTGGGGCTCTCCAGGGACACGACAGAGCCTCCGGGTCACCTGGAGATGAGCCTGGAAGGCCTGGCAGGGACCCTGTCCCTTTGCCCCTCTCCTTCCTCTGACCCTTTCTCACCGCCAGCTGATTTCTCTGCCTGACGGCCCCACTGACCCACAGGTCTGCAGCACAAAGCAGCCCCTTTCCCAAAGGTTCTCCTTAAGGGAGAACACAAAATGGCATTGGAAGGGGTCTAAGAAAAATCCACCTTCCTGCTGGAGTGCTGCCATGTGAGCTCTTTCAGGTGTGTGTTCTTGACCCACGCTGCTTCTGAGAGATGGATGAGCTGATCCGGCATGGGATGGAAGGGAACAGGGAAAGTGCTCAGCCTGCAAGACATAGAAGAAAGAGATTAAAAGCTGGAGTGGCAAAAACTGTCCTGGAGCAGTTTTGCTCAGCCCTTGATAAGATGATTAGCATTAGCCACTCTCATCTGGCAGGCCTCCATGCAGTCTCTTGCTGCCAGATCCTCTCTGACACTAATCCTTTGTCAATGTTCCATGTGGTGTGTAGGCTTGAAGGAACTGCCTGCCTTTCGGAGCCCAAAAGGCTGACCCAAGGGTCTCAGAGCCCCTTAGAAGGTCCACTGAGTGGTCTGGGGCCCTCTGAGAGACAAGCAGAGGGATCAGGGTGCCCCAGAGGGCATGAGGGATGGGGGGGAGGGGGGAGGAGCATGGGGAAGGAAGACCCTGCAGGCACAGCCAGGGCCCCAGGGTGCCCCAGAGGCAGGCTTAGGGGGGCTGGGCACCCCAGAGAGCACCCTAGGGGGGACAAGCATTTCCAAATGGGCACCAGAGGGCTGTGCATTCCCTCCAAATGACAGCCAGGGAAGCAGGGAGATGCACACCAAAGGTGCCCCCAAATGCACAGCAGGAGCCTGGGAAGCACAAAAAAGCCCGTGGGGGTGTCCAGCCCCTGTCTCCTGTGCTCCCAGGGAGCCTGGCTGGTGAGAGCTGGCTCTGCTCAGCCTGTCAGACTGCCAGGTGGGTGAGCCCTGAGGAGGGGCTGGGGGAGAAGGACACTGGGTGCACAGGGTGCATAGGGGCATGGAAGCCTTGGAGAGGTGGCCTGGGGCCCCCCTGTGTCCCTGGCCTCCATGGCCCCCCTGGTTCTGCCCAGCAACCAGCACATTGTGGTGTCACCAAGTGTCCCTAGAGCTGGGGCTGGGGCCTGCACACACAGGACCTGGTCCTCTGGTGCTGCTGGTGCTGTGGTGCTGGACCTGTGGTACTGCTGGTGCTTTGGTGCTCCGGTGGTGCTGGTGGTGCTGGTGCTCTGGTGCTGCTCTGGTGCTAGTGCTGGTGGTGCTGTGGTGCCACTGGTACTGTGGTGCTGCTGGTGGTGGCTCAGCTCCTCATTGTGCAGCTGGCAGCACCTGCCACGTCCTGCCTGCCCCTGCTCCCCAAGGAGAGGTGAGTGTCCTGGGGAGGCCCAACCAGGACTGAGTGGGATGGGTAGGAGAAAACAGAACTAAAAGCTGGTGGGGGGAGACAAAATGCTGCAGTGCCCATTGTGGCTGGGCCATGTGGAAGATCCAGGATGTGGACAAGCTGGAGAAGTGGGCCCAGGTGAACCTTCTGAGGTTCACCTCAGGGTAGGGTCCTGTACCTGGGTAGGAACAATCCTTTTTATCAGTACAGGCTGGGGAATGAGTGATAAAGCAGCCCTGCAGAGAGGGACTTGGGGGGGAATTGGTGGACATGAGCCAACAATGGGCACTGGCAGTCCAGAGGGCCCATCGCATCCTGGGCTGCATCAAAAGAAGCGTGGCCAGAAGATGGAGAGAGGTTATTCTGCCTCTCTACTTTGCCCTGGTGAGACCTAGAGTGCTGAGTCCAGCTCTGGAGCCCTCAATACAGGAAGGACATGGAGCTGTTGGAGCAGGTCCAGAGGAGGCCACAAAGGTGGTCCAAAAAGGGTCCAGGGAGACCTTCAAGCACCTTCCAGTACCTGAAGTGGCTCCAGGAAAGCTGGGGAGCGACTGTTTACAAGGACATGTACCAATAGGATGAGGGGCAATGGCCTTAAACTAGAGCAGGGCAGATTTAGAGTAGACCTGAGGAAGAAGTTCCATTCTTTGAGGGGGATGAAGCACGGGCACAGGTTTCCCAAAGAAATGCTGGAGATCCCATCACTGCAGACATTCCAGGTCAGGTTTGACAGGGCTCTGAGCAACCTGGTCTAGTTCAGGAGCTCAGGAATTGCTTCTTAAGGAATCTGTCATTGCCTGTAGGAGAAGAGAGAAAAGCAAGGGCTGTGGTCAGTGAGGCCAAGCGAGCAGCCATGGCTGGACAAGACAGAGGAGCTGCCATGGCTGTGGCACCAGCAGGGCTGGAGGGCCGAGGCAGGAGCACCGGTGCTGCCAACCTGAGGCGGCGCCAACAGGAGCTGCATGCTGTCATTGGTCTGCAAGGTGCTGCCCCTCCGGCTCTGCGGGGATGGCCCAGTGTAGGCAGGGGGCTCTCAGTGCCCCTGTTGTCCTGCATGATCCCAACAGCACCTTCATGTCCTGCAGAGGAAGGGAAGAAGCTGCTGGTGCAGTTGTGCGAAGAAAAGCTGCGCCAGAGGAGTGAGCAGCTCCCCCGCCTGCGCGAGGCACTGAGGGAGGATGTCCGTGCCCTGGGCACTTTCCAGAAGGTACTGGCAGGTCCCATCTGCTGTAGCTCTTCCTGGTGCTGGCCCTGCAGAGCCAGCTTCTCTGCTGGTCCTCTCCAGGACAGCAGTAGGATGTGACCATCCATAGGCTGGCAGTGATGTTCCCTCTGCCCCTCTCTTGCCCACAGAACAAGAAGCTCAGCAGCTCCCAGGCCTGTGGAGCGCAGAAGCACCTGGACGTGGCTTTTGCCAGGAAGACGGTGGAGGTAGGGGCAGGGTATGGTGGGTGCAGGCTGCTGGCACAGGGCTGGAATTCCAGGGACACTGGGAAGAACAGGGTGCATGGCAAAGGGTGCTGGCACAAGGACAGCCCCACAGGGCAGGTGGGGTGAGACACGGGGCGTTCAACGGTGGTCCTGCAGGCCCCTTTCTAGTGCAGGACCATCTGTGCGGGTGCCCCTTCAACTCCCTGAGCAGATCCTTGGTCTCAGCAGAGCTTCTGGCCAGCCCAGCCTACGTGTCCCTGTGGCTGCCCAGGTTCCTGCAGGGTCCAGCTGCATCCCTGGCAGAAAGAGGTTGTTTCTGCCCTTCTCTGCCTGTCCTGAGGCCTGGTTCCGAGCCCGTGGAGATGGAGCTGCTGGCCCCATGGAGCTGCCTTTGCCTGGGGCCTGCTGCTGGGCCAGAGTGGGGCCATCGCTCCCCGCCAGCATCTGCCTCTGGGACACCTATCGCTGCTCTTGACACCAGCCCTGGGGCTGCATTACGCAGAATGCCAGAGCCCCACCCACCACCACCACCACCAGATGCCTGCCTCTGCCTTAGCCCCATGAGCCCCCACAACAAAGCTCTCCCAGACCTGGTCCCACCATCCCAGAGCAATGTCCCAGCATCCCTGGCTCCATCTCGGGGACAGTTTTCCAGACAGTTCCCCTTCTCCTGTGGGTGCCCAGTGAGCCCTGCCTCCAGCCCGCTAACCTCTCATGTGCCCATCCAGCAGGTCCAGGAGAAGCTCCAGGCTGCAACCCATGCCCAGGTGAGGAGAAGTGATGTGCTGCTGCATCAGGTGAGGGAGCGGAGCCGGGTCCGGGACGAGCTACAGAGGCGGCTGCAGCAGCTGCAGGACGCTGCCAGGGAGGACAAGTGGCACCAGAAGCAGGTGCAGGTACCCAGCACCTCTTCCTGGGCTGCCAGTGCCTGCGGAGGCTTTCATCCAAGCCTGTCCACACATTGCCTGGCTGGGCACTGGGCTCAGGGCGCCTTGTCACCTTGTGTGCCTCCACCCCGACTCTGTCCCAGAGCCTTCACCATCTGGGAGAGCAGCTGGAGAAGGTGCACAGTGAAGTTGCTGCAGCACAGGAGATGACCACCCGGTACCTGTCAGTTCGGGATGCCCTGAAGAAGGTGAGCTTCTCCTCACCCTGCTGTTGTCCCACGTGCTCCCCCTCAGAGGCAATGAGGTGCCCAAGTGTGGGACACTGTCCTGCATCGACAAGGTCCCCCTGCTCCCCTCCGTCCCCTGTCACAGTATGCAGGGGAACCCCAGGGCTCAGTGGGGTGATGAACTGTGGCTCCCTGTGTCCCAGGAGTTGGCCCACCTGCCCCTTCACCTGGACCTTCTGTGTGAGGTGGACAAGCTGTACTGGGGGGAGCTGCAAGACCTGGAGCTCACGGAATTGGAAGCCCGCAGAGCTGCAGATATAGCTAAGGTGAGATGGTCTGGGGTACCACGGGGCTCTTTCCCAGCCTCCAGAGCCAACAGGTGGCCAGCTGCTGATTCTTCCAGCACTAAAGAGCAAAAGAGACAAAGCTGAGCTTGCCCACAGGCCACAGATGCCTCCAGAACTCCTCCCAGCTCTGGCTCTTGGGCCAGGCTGTCCTGGGGCTGGGGTCAGCCTGCCCTGAGCACCAGCCATGGGCAAGGCAGTATGCTCCATCCTGCAGCCCCACTTGTCCAGTTTTCTTCCCAGCCTGTTTCCACAGGGAGGGTTGTTTTTGACACTGGCCATCCCAGAAGCTCAGCTGGCTCACCAAGGTCCATTCTGGCTTTGGCCGCCACCTCTCCCTTCTCTGGTACACTTCAGGGGAACTTGGCTGATCTGGAGGCCTGGCTCCTTGCGGAGAGCGAGCTCAGGAACCGCTCCCTGGCAGCCCAGAAGGTGCCAGTCAGCAAAGAGTGGCTCAAGGAAGGAAGGGAAAAGCAGCAGACAAGGGTGAGCTGGGGGTACCCGGTGCAGGCAGGGCTGCAGGCAGAGGCCGGGCGTCAGTGCCCAGCCCTCCGTGGGTGGGGGGGCCACAGGGCTCCCTCAGGGTGCCACGACTTGGGGGGGTGACAATGACTGTCCTTGCAGCTCGCCATGGGCTTCCCAACCCTGCCAGCGCAGGACTTGCTGGAGGGTGAGTGCCTGTTGGGGTGCAGGGGCGTGGGATGTGGGCACAGCAGCAGGCATCCTTCCCTGCCGCTTCCCTCCTACCCCAGCAGCCAAACTGGAGGCCATCAAGATCCAGAAGGAGCGCCAGGCCAGATGCACTGAGAAGATGGAGAGGGCCAAGGCTGCGCTGCAGTGCTCCCGCCTCTGGGTAATGTAACAGCCCATCTCTGGGAAAACCTGGGGCTACTCCAGCCGGGGG